AGGGTCACCCACAGTTTCAGCCCTGTGATGAGAGCAGCTTGGGAGCCATTGGGAGTGTTTGTTAGGCCCAACAGTGATGGCAGCTCTTGGTGGGGAGGGAATTTGTTCTCTGCTCCCTTCAGAGCAGGGCACAAGCTCTCCCCCTGTGCCCTGTGCTGTGCACAGGAGGCATGGCTGCTTTGGAGGATTAGGACACTCCTTATTCCCGTAGTCTGGGTTTTCACATCCAAAAAGCAGGCTCCTTTATTTGGCTTTTCCTCTCCTGGGACTTTTGGGGTGCCCTGAGGTGGCTTTAGCCCTGGGTTGTTTATAACTGTGGCCAAAAATCTGGCTTTGTCTTTGGTCTCATCCTCTGGTCTCACTGTTCCTTTATTCCTTGTTTTCTTGTCTTGGTTGTTAAAGACATTTAAACAAATTCCTGGCCTTGATGATCTAAGCAGTGGGCCAGGACCATTATGACGCTGTCAGGTTAAGGACAATAAGCTTCCTTTACATTGGCCTATACTCTGGCGCTAAGGAGGACACATGAACTCTAGCAGTCCTAAAATATAGTTTACATAACTATTAGCAAAACTTAGTTCTTACTATTATGGAGATCTTAAGTTTTTATCAGTAACCAAGGACTTGATTAGGACAATGTAAAACGTAGATCAGTAGCCTAAGAAATGTGTCCTGCTTAGCAGAGAGAAAGAAAACAACTCTACTAGCTTACTTTTGATATTTAAATGTATTTGATTGACTGTATTTAGCTTAACTATACATAAAACTTTCTCAAGACTTTTCACAAACCTCCTATGACTTTCCCAGTCCCTCTTAGTTTGTCTTTTCTCACTCATTCAGAAAAAAAAGCTTAATTTTTACTGACAATCAAAAGCAAGCAATTAGCATTTTCACTGGCAAATCCAAGAATACATTTTGTAACCTTAAAAAGCATAAGCTTTACATCAAGCCCTTAACACAATGTCTGACAGAGTAAGAAATAATTCTAGTCGTGGAAATATTGGTATGTGGTAAAGGTATGTGATTCTTAAAATCCTCTTTAACATGCAGATTTTATCCAATTACAAGGATACTGGAGTCTGATTATTTTACTAACCATGTTAGTATTTCCATGTTAGGAAAACTGCTATATAATCATTTTCCCTTTTATTATTTAAATAATTAAATAAAAATAAATGTGGCCATGACAAATTTACCTACTATTGGCTTTCATTATATCCCAATAGTTATAGAGAAATCCCTATTATACTTATTTTATTTTGAAGTTATATTACTTACTTCATATAAAAACAAATATTTCTTTAAATATTTAACGTAGCATATTTAAATGTAAACAATTTAACCGGTGCATCCATTAACAATAGTATAACTATGAAAACCTACACATATTGTATTTATTTATTTATTCAAATAATATGTGAAGATTGAGCACCTACGTTGTACAAGGGTTTGGGAATGCAAAGCAGAACAAAATAGTGAACAAAGCTCTTTCACGGAGCTTATGGTTTAGTCGAGAAAAAAACATGAGTAAATAGACAATAAATAACCAAACATTGTTGAAATACGTATTTAATTTCCATTCATGAAAACAGGAAATACTTAAGTGAAAATAAAAAACCAAACACTAGAAAAAATATAATTAAGGGCCGGCCGAGTAGCGCGGTGGTTAAGAACTGGCTTGGGACCCCAGAGGGCCCCGGTTCGGATCCCACATATGAGGGCCAGTGACACTGCCCTCTACAGCTAAGATGCTGAACAACAGCTCAACCTGGAG